ACATACACACACACACAGACACACACACACATACACACACACACAGACACACACACACAGACACACACACACACACACAGAAACACATACACACACAGACACACACACACAGAAACACACACACACAGACACACACACACAGAAACACACACACACACAGACACACACACAGACACACACACACACACACACACACACACACACATACTCAAAGCCTTAAACAGGATGAAATAGAGCAGATGCTGCCTGGTAATTGTGGAGGGCAAAATAAAAAGGATTCTTAATTTGGTCATGATTCATTAGTCGACCTCTGTGAGAGGGAGATGAGTCAGTACTTTTCACTCCAAGAGGAAACCTCTTTGGTTTCAAACAGTGGCCATCCTCTGGACTTCTCCATGGAGTCTGGAGAGCTATTGGCTCAGACTTCCTCACAGGGATTTCTAGAACTGACTTAACTATTAAAGAGGACACTTCTTGGGCAATGCTCAGTTATCCAGAAAAAGCTTCTCTCAAAAAACAGCCGTTCTGACTCTGAGGAGCTCTCTCCTCTGTGGTGAGCCGTGACCCTGGACCTGGAGCCCGAAGCCGAGTCTCTGGGCTGGAACCTCTGCACACTTCAGGTCCCAGCCCTGAAAGCAGACTCTGGCCTCATGCTTACACTCCAGTGTGTTCCAGGTAGACAGAGACACCAGGCTTTGCTTAAGGTTCACCTTTCAGGCACAGATCATCCTTTCCAACACTTTAGAAAAGAGATTGAGAAAATTCACCTCCAGAATTTTGAGATCCTAAAAAAGATATCAGTCAACAGAGATTCCTTTCACAAGTGAGTCAGGGTCAGCAAAACTGACCAGTGCACTTCTGAAGGCAGCAGGTAAGGTTGTCTACAGGGCTGCTCTGCTTTGGAGCAAAAGATTGGATAGGTTCATAATTTTGCTGGATTCCTTTGGTGGCAAGGCCCATGTCAACTGGGCAGATAGACAAGAAGATAGGGAAGTAGACGAATAGGTACGTAGAAGAAATATAGCACAAAAACAGATTTAAAAGCTCGAGGTGTGAAGATAGCATCTTCTGGTGGCTATGCATTCTTCACCCGTTCACGTGAGCTCAGTTACTGCACTAGCCCTGAAGCAGCTCCTCAGTTAGCTACAAGCCAACTCACAACCCAAAGTCTGATGGAAGAGAAGGCTGGCTTGCACTTCTCTCCCACCTGTGCCCATGTCGCAGGGCACAGCGTCAACCCTGTTCCTAAGTCACTGAGATCTCCCCCCGACACTTCAGTGTGGCTGTTACTCATCTGTTTGCTTCAGTTTCCCTTTAGTCCTGTCTCCTCCTTAGGCCCATCTTAGTTTGGGGATTATCTGAAATATACACAGTTTTAACACACAAACCTCAACTCCTATACAAATCTTATCCATTCTGTATCCCTTCCTCCCAACTCTTCCCTATCAAAGGAGTTGACCAGCTTCATTGGGATCTGATTTAGTCAATGTGTTTCAATGTTTAAAATATATGCAGATTGTCTCCATTATTTTCTCCTTTCTCATAGTTTGCTTTTTCACATAACAGCGCATTCCAAACATCACCACTGCTCTGTCTCGAGCTCCATCTCCTTCTCTCCCAGCTCCACAGCATTCCACTGCACGTATGCCCAGCAGGTTATAAATCAGGTCCTCGTGTGCCGGTAGCCAGGTAGCCACCAACATTTTACAATTATAAATATTGCTGCAACTAATAACTATGCACCATTTTTGTGTTATTGGGGATATATCTTCAGAATGTGTTTCTAGAAGTGGATGTCCAGGTTGAATAACAACCATATACATAAATGTTAGAAAGTGCTAAATTCCTGCCACAGGAGCTGGGCCATTTGAACTCCCACCAGCAGGGCATCCGTGTTTCCAGATAGCTTTGCCAACAGATTAAACTGTCCAGCTTCCATATTTTATCAAAATGGATGGGTAAGAAATGGTATTTCTCGTATCTTTAATTTTTATTTCTCTTATTAAAAAGGAAGTTAAACATCTTTTGCAAATAAATAAGTTATTTTAAAATCTTTTTTCTGGATTTGCTACCTGTGAGTAACTTGCATCTATTTTTCTATAAGCTTTTTGGTCATTTTTCTCTCCATTGCATAAAAGTATTTTGTATGTATGTCTGTGTATATATCTATATCTATCTATATATACACATACACACACTCACACACATATGCATATATAGATAGATATTTATAGATATAGTGTATAGCACTTCATCTGCATTGTTCTCAGTTTGTTCTCAGTTTGTCATTTATCTCTTGACTTTATTCATGGTTTTGTCTACTAGGCAAGAGCTGGATTTTTCTCAATATATGCTAACTCTGACTTTGCATTTATTATGTATGGATTTTGAATTTTTTTTAGAAATCCTATCTTGCATGAAGGAAGGGAATAGATCTAATTTTATCTTTTTCCCAATGACTACCTAGTTACTCCAGTATCATTTATCGAAAAGTCCATCTTGGCCCCCAGTGATGTGACATACCACCTTCATATTATACTGAATTTTAATATGTAGTTGATTCTCTTTATGGATTCTTTGTTCCATTCCACTTGTTTCTTCTTCCATAAACTCTTTCATTCCGTTTTAATCATAGATGCTTATAGTATATTTTATTGTATACTACTTCTTCCTTTTCACTGAACTTCAACTTGTCTACTATAGGAAGAAAGCTGTGTGTGTGTGTGTGTGTGTTTTAACTAAGAATGAACTCAGTTTACAAATTAACTTGGGGGAGTTGTCATGCTGATGATATTTAAATACTTACATCCCTATTGGGTCTTTCTGGGGTGCCTTATGATTTATTTGAGATTGAGTTTAAGCAATTCTTTTTGAGCTTACTTTGTGTATTTTATCACTTATTGCACTTTAATTGGGATTTTTCATTTGTAATATCTTCTAATTGTTTATTGGCAAATATAAAATCTATTGATTTTGCATTTAACTTTTATATCCTAATTGATTATTTTTTTATTCAGTTAACTGAGTTTTATCATCCATCCTCTGGAGTTCTCCAGGCACACCATCCTGTCACCTGAAGAAAATTATATTTCTTTTCTTTTTATCCTTTTCTCTAGTCCAGTTACATTGGCCAGTACCCACAGAACAATCTGAAGTAGGAGTTATGGTAGCAGGAGTCCTTGTCTTCTTCCTGACTGCCCCAGTCTAGCTGCAGCAAACTAACCGGGGGGTGAGGAGCAACTTGTGTACTTTGATACAGCAGGAGTGGGAGCCTGTGTACATTGATACAGCAGGAGTGGGAGCCGTTTATTGTAGGACAGGAGGGGTATATATATATATACATTACACACAGCTTATCTTAATTAACATAAACTAGATACAGCATCAACCAATAAGGAATCTCCACACTTAATGGCTTGCTGGCATTACTTCACAGACCACTCCCTCTGCAAAATGCCAGGTGCCATCCTGACTTGTTTACAGACCCTAACACTGACCTCAATAGGAATAGCTCTAGTGTTTCTAGGTTAAAATTGATTCTGGAATTGGACTACATCTCAATAGCCAGAATTCTAGAATTTTCTTAATAATCTTTTTCTTAAGAATATATTTATTAAAGACTTGAATTTCCATTCTTATTTTTTAAAGAATTTTTATAAAAAATGGAGTTGGATTTTGTCAATGGCTATTTTCTGCAACACTAGAAATAGTCACGTGATTTTTCTCTTTAAATATAATTATATGATGAAATATATTAATAAGACTCCCTGATCCTGAACTATCCTTGAATTCTGGTATAAAACCACAAATGATCATGGTGAACTGTGGATTTTACCATTACTATTAGTAAGTACAGTTTCACTCTGATTTCTTATATTGTGCTACCTTTATCAAGCTTATCCATCAATGTTATTAATTCTTCACAAAAAGAATTCAGGAGCTTTTCTTCATTTTCTAAACTCTAAAACAAGTTTTGTAGCACTGGAGCTCTTCTCTGAAGCTCTGCAAACATTCCCTCTGACACTGCTTGGTGTCTTGAGGCATAGAACCCAATATACGTTTCTGTTTCTTCCGTGGAAATTGTTTGAGCTTCCGTTAAGGTTAACTTTGGAAAACTGTATTCTACCAGGAAATTAGCCACTCCTTCAGGCTTTATAAATGCCTTTGCACACATATGTACAAGTCTTCTTCTAGGATTTAACTTTCTCTCTATAGTAATTTACTCCTTTCCATTTTTTATTTTGCAAAATTTTGCTTCTATTTTCCATGGTTAAGTTAGCTATTGGGTTTTGTCTTTCATTATTTTTAAAAACTACTTTTATCTATTAATGTACAGTACCATGTATCTATATCATGGTATCATTTCCTTCTACTTTTTCCCTGAATTCCATTGATTCTTGTTTCATTTCTTTTTTTCCGTGTTTCCTATGTGTTTTTGATTTTTAAACTTTGTATCTAAGGTGTTTCCTTATCTTCAAATGCTTGCTTGAATCTTTCACCTCAGTTTCGGTTATCCCATTAGAACTTTCTTTTGTTTCTTTTGATTTGGTGTTTTTCTCTGAGTCTTTGTGTCTTCTGTGTGCTCTATTTTCTATTCTCTGACAATGATGGCATGTGTGTGATGCCTGTTTGGATCATTGCATCATCAACCCGTCATTGCTTGGGTGGGACTTGTAGCAGACAGTGCAATGCTGAACACCCGTCTGCTGGTGGATGGTTTTCTTAGTGAAGGGAAGTGGTGGCCACATAGGGAGAAGAATGGCCTGGGGTGTGTGCTACTCTTTCACCCCTGCCTGCAGCCTCTTAGCCCCTCCTGTTTCCTTCTTTCTCCTGGCTAGTGTGGTTCCACAGGTACCACCCTTTCCTCATTCGTACAACTCTACTCCACATAGCACACCCAGGGACCACCTCCTCCAGTCCTGTTCATGCTCCAAGTCCTTTGCCTCACCCTCTACTCTCACCAGTCCTTCAGCATTTCCTTTAGATTTCTCCTGAGAGTCTCCACCTAAGTCATCCTCGTCCTATCTTCTCTTTACACCTTGCCAACCCTACTTTCATTCCCAGGACCTTGCAGAGATGGGGGCAGGAGCTCTGTTGAAACTGGTTTATTTCTCTACGTACAGGGAATTTATAGATCGCTATATCCTCTGACTTCTAGGAAGCTGAACGCATGACTCCTGATGTTTTATTTGGTATGTTTAGGACGGACAGGGAGGTCAAGCTGTCAGGCACATGCCGTCACCCCCTACCCTCAGGAGACCTCTGTTCTTGATGAGGGGCTCCTATTCAAGAAGATCTCGAGAAACCTGAAAAGGACCTCAGGAGCTGGAGAAACAGAGCTCTGCCATCGACAAAGGCCACAGTGGGTCCCCAGACATGGTGTAGGTGTGGTTGAATGGGGAAATGCTAGTCACCTCTGAGGGACATCCTGGAGAGCCCACATGGGAAGTTCTTCATAGTGTCTGTCTGTCATCACAGTGACCAGTCACTAGAATCCTTCCTCTGGGGTCATCCAGGGGACTGGAATTCTTGACCTTCTCTGCTGGCACTTTGGGGTGTCCTTGGGCCGACAAGGTGGCGCGTTCACTTCTAGTCCAGCTAGCCGAGAACCAGCTTTTAGGGCAGAACTGGCCTGAGACAGGCGATTGCTAAGCAGTGAGCCAGGCATTTGCCTATACACCAGGGAACTCACGGCCTCGTGCTGATGCCAAGCACATCACCAGCCTTGGCTGCTGAGTTTTCAGCTAAAAAAAAAAAAGACAAGAGAAGCAGTGTTTAAAACATGGAAAATTTCCTAAAGTTATCGTTCTGGTTCAGGGATTTACGGGTCAGAGTGAAATCTTTCTTTTCGCTCTTCTAGGTCAGTTCAGTCTCCTATGAAGTAGCAAACCCGTCAAGCTACCAGGAAAACCATCCTCTGCCTTCCTTCCTCTGATCTTCATTCACACACACGCCCCCAGCTCACCGCAGCCCTCAGGACTCACCTCCGGTTCTCAATAGCAGCAATGACAGTGTCTTGGTTAAAAAAGGAAAAGCAAAGATGGGTAAAATATTACCATACCCTCAGAGGCCTGAGTAGGGCCCTCATTAGAATTCGGGACCCACAGCTGGAACTTCCAGCTTGGGGCGGGAGATAAAGTTCACTATTGTTGGCTCACAAGTGGCTCAGACTTCCTGGCAACCTCAGTGAATTACTCAGTCATTTATGCAGGCCTTCAGAAACGCTCCACTGTTTCCCAACAAAAAGGGCATTCAGGAAGAGGGAGGAGGCTCCCAGGGCCTGGAGAGCGGCTTTGGGGCAGTGAATGGGCCCAGTGGCCTCCCGTGTCAATGGCTCTGTGGGAAAGGCAGTGATGTCACCGCGAATGCATTTTCGGGCCTGGCCTGCCTTCCCTGCTCCCGTCCTCCCCTCCAGCCCGGAGGCCAGCTCTGTTAGTTCCCCAAGTGCAGAGCTCAAATACCCAGAGGCCCGCAGCACGCTGCTGCCATGGCAACGCAGCCTTCGACACTTTATGATTTTGCATAAAAAGTAGAAAAGACTTGAAAGGAAAGGGCAAGAACCAGAGGGACGAAGCCGGTGCTGGGCTCTGGTGCTGGGTGGACAGAAGCGGAGAGGACTAAGCTGGGGAGACCCCGAGAGCCAGTGAGGGCCTCTGGGAAGCAAATGTCCACGCAGGAGAGGGACGCCCTGACAGATGGCAGGGGAGGAGACCAACAAAGTTTTCACAGGAAGTAAGGCCCCAGGGGCTCCTGGAAACGCCCCCGTTCACAGGAGAGAGGAGGCTCCCAGACGGGCTGGCTCAGCAGAGGAGGGAGGAGGGCAGGAAGAGGGTCAGAGGACCTGGAGCTCTGGGGGAAGAGGCCAACCCCTGTCCTCGGCAGCCCAGGGTTCTCCGGCCTATTGTCACAGGGCTGTGGGAGGGGCTCCAAGGTGTCCGCTGGGCAATCTGCTCGCCACAGCCATGCTGAGCACAAGGAGAGGCCTCAGTGTACGCTCCTCCTTTCATAGTGGACGCAGCGCTACCTTGAACTCCTGAAAGGACACTAAAAAATTTGTGTCTGATAAGTTTTATATCCATTCTATCAAAAATTTGTAAGCAATCTGATAATGCGGCCTTTGAGTTGCTCAAACAACTGCTCCTGTAAAAGCCAGGGCCAGCGGGTGGGGACACATCTGTGCACGTGTGCCTTCAAGGGCCCCTTCTCATTGGCTTCTGCCACCTGGTCTCTGGGAGCCAGGGGCTAACTCCTGGGACCTTGTCCACTGCCTCTGGCCCTTTCCCTTACCTACTTCCCCGACAGCTGTCAGCTGAGCCTGAGCACTCCGTTCTCCATGGGTGACACAACATCCAGGGCCCAGGGACCTTACAACACATAAACCCTACTCAGAGCAGACCAAGCCCTACAGCGCGGAGGTGGGTAATTCTGTGGTGTTTTCCAGCAGCTCGGCGTAGGTGAAAGAGTGGGAAGAACGAGCGAGAAGGGAAGTGGGGGAAGACTTCGGAGAGGACGTCGTCTTGGAGGCAGGTCTGGAGCCACGGACTTGGGGGACAGAGAAGAATGCACTTGTGGGTGCATGGTGCTTGGCCTAAATGGTGTCTCCAGGAGCTTGGCTGGAAGACCCGCCGACACGGCATGGCTCTTCATTTGTGCACCACGGGTCCTCACTGCGGGTCTTGGGTGGGGCAGACCCCACCACTTTTTACTTCCAGATTGTTGGGACCGTTTAGTTTTTGCATGTTCAAGTGTGCATTCCAGTTTAGATCAGAACTTTAGTTTCTTGAGCAGTTCAAGGTTTGGCTGCGAGATGAGTACATAATTGGCATTCGGGGCCCTTGGATCTGACCTTCACACAATGGGAAGTTCTTCAGAGGACCCCTGGGAGCTCTGGAGGCCACTTCAAGCACCTCCACGGGACATGCTCCAGTCCTGGAAGTGCACTCCCAGGAGACACTTGTCCTTCCCCCTGGCCATGCGCTCCAGGCTCTCACTTGGGGACCCTCCCTCTGCCAGGTGGTCCTCTCGAGTGTGTGTCTCCCAAAGCCTCCACTCCAGCCAGCTGCTGCCATGTGCACTGGCCAGGGAAGGCTGTCCATCTCCCCCCCCCCACCCCCGGGGCTGCCATCCTCCCACTCCTTCTGTGCTCAGGGTCGATTCCAGCCAGACTCTTACCTGCGAATCTAGAGGTGAAAAGCAAGAGCCCATTTCTGAATCCCTCTCACTCTGGTGGACCTGCTGTAGCCCCACAGGAGTTCTGCCAAGTCCCTGGCCAGGTGGCGGAGGAGGCCCAAGCAAATCCTCCCAGATCTCATATGTGTAGAGACTGTCCCTTCTCTCCAAGGCTCCCAAGTTTTATGGATGTTTGCTTGGTGCCTGTCTTCCCTTCCCTCTTGCTTTCAGCTTGCACAAGGTTAGAAAGATTTTCTTACTAACAAGATTTACTAATATGCTTACTCTATATGCAGTAAAATAAAAAGGGAAAATTCATCTGCTCACACTCACACCCCGGCTCTCCCACTGAACCCTGGATGCATCTGCTTGCGCTCATGCAGACGGCTCAGGGTGAGGCTCACAGAGCGTTTCCCTTCTGTCGCCCTCCATCCATGTTTGGCTCCTCTCTGTGGAATGAAGGAGTATCTCTTGTCCCTTGTGTTCCCCTCTGGGGCTCAGGCTGATATTCTGAAATAGGAAAGTCCCATTCAAAATCCTGTCCAGAACTTTGTTCCCCGACTCCTCCTGCTTCCTTCCTCCTCTTCATCTACAGGCGCACGTCCTGAAAACGTCTTTTATTTATTTATCTAGTCATGTGTTTATTTGTCAGTTCTGGAATCAATCCAGGGTGCTCCACCGCTGAGCTGTCTTCACCCTTCCTATTTCTACTTGGAGACCGTGTTATTGTGTGACCATGAACTGTCCCTGAAAAGCTCGTGTGTTGGAGACAGGATCTCCAGGGTAGCAACATGGGGAGATGAAAAGATAAGATTTGAGAGCTGTGACCTTATCCGTGGATTAACTCAGCTGATAGGTTAAAATTTGGAACAGACTACTAGGTGATAACTACAGGCGAGTAGGACGTGGCAGAAGGAAGTAGGCCACTGGGGTCAGGTAGCCTGGGGACTGTACCTTGTCCCTGGCTCCTGGGTCTCTATTGCTGCTTCCTGGCTGCCATGAGCTGAGAAGCCTTTCTTTTCCTTCCACCATAGTCCAAAATGGGGCCGTATTTGGAGACCTGGTCTTCACAGGGTTAATCAAGTTAAAATAATTCTTAGGGTAGACCCTAATCCACTGTGACTTCTTATAGAAAAAGGGACTTGGAGCAGACTGGTACAGAGAAGCTGATATGAAGAAACACAGGGAGAAGACAATACCCACAAGCTATGGGTGAGGCTGGAACAGGTCCTTCCTCTCTACCCAGTGGGACGACCCCTGACTTCACACTTCAGCCACAGTTTACAGTTCTGTGTATCTTCCAACAAAGTTGAACAAGTACATTAAAATAGACTGAAGATCACTATTTAGAGTTCATATATATATATTATATTGGTATTATTTTATTGTGATATGATGATATAATTCTCTTTCGCCATCTGCTTTTTGAATACCTAGACTGCCACAGATGGCACCAGCAGCCACCTGGCCAACTAGGTGGAAAGTTGGGGTCTAGAGAGTGACTCACTTGGGTCTGGATGGGGGATGGTCTGTGTGTGCACAGTCCCTGGCTCAAGGTGGCAGCCCAGCTGCGGGAAGCCCCACGGTGGGTCCCCGGGGAAAGGTCCTGGCATGTGCGACGAGTCAAGCATCAGGGAACATGGAAGGGAGAGTACTTACGCAGACTGCGGGACCGGCTGCTTTGTAGTCGGCAGCGCCGATGCTCTAAAGCAGGAGAATGAGAAGGCGGGGAGCCAACCCAGTGCGAGTGCAGCCTGAGGGCTGCAGGCCTGGGCAGCTGCGGACTAGCCCTGCGGCAGGAGGCTGGGTGAGTCAGTCAAGTCAGGTGCTATGCCGGGGGGACATCTTAGTGGGAAAAACCTGGAGGATCTCCACAGCAGGATATAGACATCTGGGTGGACCCCTGAGCACCTCAGCTCTGCAGAACCCCAGAAACCCCAAAGCTCACCGTCTTTGCCCCGACCACTAGTGAGAACTAGCCTATCCCAGTGGGACACACCACAGAGGTCCCTCCTGGCACAGCCCGCTTGGAGGGAGCCCTCTGTGGGATGTGGTGGCCAGCCAGGCAGTCCACCGGAGCCCTCTCGTGGGGTTTATTCCCAGTGGGCACAGAAGAACAGGGGACCTGCTCACATCACCACCCAGGACCCTACGAGTTTGCTTCCCACCCCGAAATCTGGGGGCTGCGAGGTGGAGTCCAGTGCCTTTGCCAAGGGAAACAGGACAGAGTTCATTGAACCACCGACTGCGGATTCTCCTGACTCCTTATGTCTGAGGGCCAGCAGGTGGGAGGCGAAGTCACCCCTGAGACTAGAGGATCGGCTTGCTCTTCCACAGTGGGGACAAGCAGGAATGCCCACAGGACCTCAGGACCCCTTTGGCTGTCTTTGGGGGTTCTCTTGTCCAGTTGGAACTGTGAGCAGACACATGTAGCAACCATCCCAAGGAGGAGTGATTGCCAAGGTCTGAAAGGTGCAGAAGGGTATGCCCTGGTTGTGGGTTGAGCGGGTCTTTTAAAAAACATTAATGTCCTGATACCAGAGAAGAGGCCTTAATTGAAACAAGGTCTAAGATGAGGTCATTCAGTGAGTCCTCATCCAACGTGACTGGTGTCCTGACGAGAAGCAAAGAGTCAGACACAGACATGTACGAAGATAGGTGCAGAGACTGGAGTAGTATGGCCACCAGCCAGGAATGTCCAGGGCCACCAGGCCTGGCACAGGTGGAAAGGATCCACCCCTGGAGGCTCTGGAGGAAGCATGGCTCAGTCCACATCTGACTACTGGTCTCCATGACCTGAGGGAATGACTGTGGCTTTAAGCCTCCATTTTGCAGGATTTTGTCATAGCAGCTGTGGGAAAGGACTTGTGTGGCAGCTCAGGGAGAGGGGCCGTGAGGACAGAGGCTGTCTCAAGACTCGAGCTCTCTGTGCGGGTGTCAGTGGTCACATTCCCTCTCCCTTCAGAGAGAGGCAAGCAGAGCCCTGGGTGGCATCTCCTCAGACAGGCACTCTGAGGGCGCCAGGCCCCCTCCCGGTGCCCACTCCAGACCCCTTCACGAGAGCCCACGCAGGGGCCCAGGTGAGGGATTGCCCCCAGAGGCTGCACCTTCAGACCCACGGCGATCATGCACAGGCCATGTGTCCCCTGCACTGCAGGAGAGGGGAGCAGGCCATCCCCCAAGCACGGTCATCCTCTGATGCCCAGCCTTTGCTCCAGGATTCACCAGCCGCCGGGCATGGGCTCGCTTAAACCATGCCGCCAGCTGAAGCTCTCCCACCGCAAGCCCCCTCGTCACTTTGCTTGGACAGATGTGACCCCATCTGTTGTCCAAGTTAGCCTGGCTGTGTCCCCTGTATCCTCCACAGGCACCACCCCCAGGAAACTGTGTGCGTGTGAGCGGCTCGCTGCCGCTTCTCAGAGGATCTGAACTTCGGAGCAAGAGTCGCTGTCGTCACCAGCTCCACAGAAACAGCCACTGTCAACCTCACTTCCAATCCCCGTGAGCTCATGGACAGGGACCTCCTCATTGACACACACTCACTCAAGAATGCACAAAAACAGCCAGCGCTCCAGGGCCCAGAACAGTGAGAGGTGAGCACGCCACACACTAATGAGCTCCGCCACCTCCTGGGCTCTCTTGATTAGCTCAGACCATCAGCCAGATACCAGGCTAGGATCCAGCAACTGCCTATGGGCCTGAACAAGAAATTCCCCATGAGCAAACCCTTGAACACTATCTCTGGGGGTTGGGGACAGGCTGGGATCTGACGCCTTCAGAGACTGGGAAGGCTGAGGACTGAGACTGGCATCCTCCTGAAGAGCAAGTGCTGGTGAGGCACCTTTACACCAAAAGACCAGGCCCAGGGCTCCACGCGACATTGAGGTGCCAGCCTGCCTTCACGGCCACTGCCCAGCCGGGGTGCGAACCACAGCAGACTCCAAGGGACATAGACTGCGGCTGGAGTTGAAATCAGAATCCCACAGAGGAAGAGATCTCAGACTTGGATCCAGGGACAGGCCGAGCAGAGGATTTTGCACTGGGCCTTCTCAAAAGAGTAGGAATTTCACAGAGAAGAGGAGAAGAGACAGACCATTCCTGAGTTCAGATGAGGATCTGCCAAGGCCAGCAGGAGAGAGCTCATGAGCTAGGACAGGGAAACCGTTCACTACACAGCAGCGAGGGCATTTCTGCACAGGGACACCAAAGGGACCAACTAGATCGAGAAGCTGGCAAATCAGCAGTCCTGCAGGTTTGGGCCTTTGCAGTGACAACGTGCCTTCCTCTGGGAAATAATGTGATCAAAGTCAAGAAGGTCGATTTTTAAAGTGCACATTTATTCATTTGCTTTTTTTTATTTATCTGTGTGTTGGTTTTTATTTTGTGGGTATGCTCAGGTGTTAGGCAGACTGCCGACCCCCGCCACAGAGGCACAGGTCCCCGCTCATCACCTGGCAGCAGGGGACTTGTGCCTCCTGAAGATGCTTTAATTATTAATTACTACCTTGATGGAGCCAGAGACCTTGGAGCTGTCCCTCCTCAGTTCCACCAACTCCCTGCTAAGTCAT